GACACGAGGCGCAAAAGGGCGACGCGGTGCGTGGCTTTCAATCATTCTGCGTGCAGCCCGAGTGCAAGCAGGTTGTCAGCGGCAAAACCACCGTGATTGACTCCGAGATTATGGAATTCCTGCAGTGGTACGATAAACAGTCGCCCGCAGTCACTTCGCTCCCGGCGCAACTCAATGTGCTCAGCTCTGCCGTGGCCAAATACCCCGAGGACGACGAGATCAAGCACAAGCTAGAGCAAATGCAGTTGCGGTACAAGACACTCCAGGCCAACGCCGTCATGGATGTCCCGTGCGATCTCATGCAGATTGCGAAGCTGGCGAGGAAGCCCTACTGAACAACGCGGAAAACAACAACAGTTTGATGTGAGAACGGTCGTTGAGAGAGGGAGCCACCAACCCGTTCAGGGACGCCGTCGACAAACCTTCAATTCAGCCTTGTCAACGAATTGTAGCTTGGGCCCTGCAAAGGGGCAAGAATTCCGATGGATCTCGGAATCGTGATGCTTGGGACCAACCCATGCGTGCAAGAAGCGTCGACCTCGTGGTTGATTTGCAACTCTTTTTATTTTTTGAGTTACAGAGGGTGGGAGGCTCCTTTTACAAGAAAAGTGCTTTTGTTCTTCTTTTTTCCCTTTTATCGGCTTCATTTCGGCAATCGAAAACCCAAAAAAGTTGGAGACATACATACGCCCAGTGCGCAACGTGCTAGGGATATTGTTTTGTTGCGCAGGCACTTTTTGGGCTCCCTCACAATGACAGGGTTCACTCGGAAAGAAACATTGGATAACCAGAGGCAGGCAGGTCGAATGTATCTTTAATAGGCATTGAAGTGGCTGGTGCTGGGGCTGCACAGTCTCTTCGACTGAATCCAGCGATACATAGAAAACTCTTGTTATCCAGTTTCGTATTCAGTTGCTAAGAACTTGTCTGGCTTTGCAACGCAAAATTAATTCGACTACCCTAGGTACCTGTGTAGGTTGGTATGTACATTGGCGGTAGAAGCCGTAGTGAAACCACAAACGGTAAAAGCTGCAAGCGACAAGCACGTAGAGAGGGGTAGTATATCGAAGGTAGTACCCGTGAAGGGATGTACTCTACAAGGCGAGAAGCGTGCAGGCCAGCAAGCAAGCAAGCAAGCAAGCAAGCAGGTAGGTAGGTAGGTAGGTAGGTAGGTTGGTAGGCAGTCGTTCAGCGATGGGACTTGGGGCACCAAGGAGTTGCAAGGGGGTAAAGATACAAGGTGAAGATGTAGAGGTGTAGAGACAAGGACGCAAGACAAAGATACAAGGGAGGGGCAAAGAGAGATCGTGTCGTGTCGTGTTTTTGTCGTTCCCTTTACATTGCTTTCCCTTGAAGCTCGAGTCGGTGGATGTATCTATTACTACATGTAATGACACTGAGCAGACACAGATCACTGCGCGGAGGTATCTGTCTCATAACGAGACAAAAATCGACTTTTGATCTGCCTTTTCGACGACGGACCTCTCCTTCCTCCATGTCCCCCGGCAAGAAGAAATCAGAGGTGTACAGAATCACCGACCTCATCCCTGATCTCGGATCTATATCTTTGGTCTGTTGTTTTCCCTTTCCCCCTCCGTCTTTTTTACCATCCCTGCTTCCTCATCTTCCGGATCGTGCCCAACTCACTCCGAAACCCTTCCATGAACAGCTTGCGCCACCGCAGAATGCGAATGTTCTTCCTCCGCTGGCCCCTGCGGACGTGCTTCTCCTGGCTCCTCATGTCAGACTTGACGTTGTTCTCGTGGCATTTGCGCTCGAGCAAGCGAAAGCCGCGCGTCGGGTCACCGTAGATGCCGTCCACGGTGCGGCCCAGCGTGGGGCGCAGACGCAGCGTGATGGGTGGCAGAGACGACGAGTAGATATCTTCGTGCAGGTCGGACAGGAGCGTCGAGGTCGAGGTCGTGGCGCTGTTTTCGGGTGATGATCGCTGCGCCGCGTTGTTCTGGGTCCGAGCATTCCCCAGCAATTGGTCCCAGCGTGAGGCGACAGTTTCTTTCCTCTTGGGCTCCGGTGCGCGGGTCTCCCGGATCAGGTCCATGAGCTGGTTTCTCATTGCGTGGGGAGCGGGATTGTTGCTGTTCCTCGCCCTTGAAGGCTTCGGGTTCGACTTCGATGGTGGAGAAGGCGAGTCTTGAGATCTGGGAGCTGTAGAGCAGAGCTGTCTAGAGTGTCTCTGCAGAACAGGCTGGATGACATCGTGGATCGTTGACCTCGAGTAACTCGAGGAGGTGAAGAGGCGTGGTGATAATCTCTGGGAGGTTAACGCACACCGTGTATAACTTTGCAGCGAAGGAGACGCCTTCATCCTCACGGCGGCGCAGGCAAGAGAGTACAAGAGAGTGACACCATGCACGCTTCAATAGCTGCGAGGAAACAAGAGTGGGAGGAGTAGAGTATCCTGGTGATGAAATGTGTAGACAGACAAGTTCAATTGAAACAAGTGCTGCAATCTCAGAGCTTGGTGTGGCAGAAGTCCCAGCCAATGATGTTCGAGTTTCTGCGGACCGAGATCTCGCTGGAGACGTCCAAGTGAGATGCCTCCACATGCACTCCTCCACATACACGAGGCACCTACCTAGACACAGAGTACATTGATGAACAGCCAGAGCATTTACCTTTATGCTTTCCGTCTGCCACAAGCTCTCAAACGACGTTCTACTCCCCGTCCCTGGCCCCGCAGCATGTCTTCCAACTCCAACCTGATCACGCTCTCCTCCCTCAAGTACATCCAGCCCGCGACCCTTGGCAACCTCCTCCTCGATCCTACAGAGAAGGCCAAGATCGCCATAATAGATGTCCGTGACTCGGACCACATCGGGGGCAACATCCACGGTAGCACTTGGGTGCCCCTGAACCAGCTGGATGTGCGGATGCCCGAGCTGCTGCGCACGCTGAAGGACAAGGAAAAGGTGATCTTCCACTGCATGTTGAGTCAACAGAGAGGGCCGAAGGCAGCCTTGGCCTACGCGAGAGCGAAGCAGAGGGCGGACGCAAAAGAAGCCCGCGAGCAGGCACAATCAAAGGAGAAGGCGGGAGAAGACAAGATGGAAGAGGGCCAGCAGCAGCAGCAGCAGCAGGAGTCGTTGTCTTCGCAGGAAGTCTGTGTGCTGGAGGGCGGCTTCGGCTCCTGGCAAGCGCGTTTCGGCGAGGACTCGAGACTCACAGCAGATTATCAGCCCGACCTGTGGTTCTGACCTCAAGGCAGGTTTAATTCATGGGCTTTTGAGGTCGTTACTCGCGTTACTCCCGTTACTCGCGGACGGCGTCCCCCACTTGACGAGAGATTCCAAGTGTGAGGCTTTCTGCTGGAATAGTTGGAACAGGGCATCCGATACCATTAGACTTCCTACCGCAATTCAGCATGTAATTGGCACTCAATGGACGAGGTTTAACCCTGGAAAAGGCAAGTCTTGGAGTCGTGGGATGCATACTAGGTAACTAGTATGATGATAACCTACAACAACGCAAGGCCTGTCCTTTGTGCTACTATTACTCTTAGAAGTATGTTCTATGAACTAGACTAGTATTGGTCTGGAGGTATGTCTCGCTGTGTGGAAAGGGAATATACATCCGCGGCATCACAAAAGCCGCCATGCCTCGTGCATTAAAGTGATCAAAAGATTCGCTGTATCGTACGCCGCCATTTTTCAACCCCAATAGTTACAGATCATGACACCCGAAACATCGCAGTAAGCCTGGAAACGCTGATTAGACCTCCGCCTGCATTCGCGGTGGTTACACTCTTTTGCTTGCAGTTTCCTTCAGCTCCATTTCCGTGTTTTCGCGATGCTTGTGCTTCACGCGGCACATGGACCTCAAGCCCAAGACCGCAAGCCAGAAATTTCCCTGCGGCTCGTCGGGAGCGAGTTGGTATAGCAGGTCGCTCTCCCAGCTGATGTTGTTGTAAACATTCATAATGCAGACGACTGTTTCGGAGATCCAGACGACCAAGAAGATAATCCAGTACGCTGAGCTGGAGGCCTTGCCACGGAAACGATACGCGACCGCCCAGGTAACCATGCCAATCACCGCAGTAGGCTGAGAAGTCAGCAAATACAAATCTGAATACATTGCTGCTTACTTACCGCACAGAGTCTTTGAAATCTACAGGCCAGATTGAGGTATGCCATTCGGTCGGCAATAGTGTTGCGCGGAGCCGTTGCCATCATCCAGCAGGTTTGGAGGAACGCCATCCTAAGTAGACGCCAATCGATCAGTCAAAGATGCAAACAAAGCGAGGATAGAAATTCGGAGACAACTGACCAGTGCAGAGCAAGAAATGGTGTAACGGTGCCGATGAACGGATGGCTTTCGCCCCCATAGAGCGACCCTAAGCATGCAGCAACGATCTCCAGGCACCATGAACAGATGGCCAAGAAGTAGAAGATGGTGTATTCTTCGATGCGAGCCAAGGAGCCTCCAGTCCTGAATGGCAAGGCCTGGGGCTCGTCTTCGCACGGGTTATCAATGGGATTCGTCATCTCGAGACGCTGGGGACTAGATTTCGAAACGACGTCCTCAAGTACGTTCGGTCCCCAGCGACAATGGGCGCAAACTGCGACAGACGGAGGGAGGTGCGGACAAGGCGCAGAGGGACTGTCAGATGGGGACGGCGGCTGTCCACAGTCGATACCTGTACTTTTGCAGGGCGACAGGATCGGTGAACTGAAGACGTTGTTGTTGGTCGGAGGACGTGACTTGGACGATGACGATGATCCGTGGTGATCCGCCCGCCGCTCAAAACAAGGCCAAAAGCGTCAATGAGTTGGGCAACAGACAACGGTGGACCATCACAGCCACGTGACAAAGATACGTAGAAGCATAGAAGCAGCGAGTAGTTTCCCGCTTAATCTTCGGATAAAATAATTAAATCACCTTCCGTGCCTCCGACGTGTCAGTTTCGTAGACTTCATTCACCTTGTACCTGTGTCTCATCAACAAGACACAAAGTCATCCACCACAACACATCTCCTTGTGCAATGGCTGCCCCTATAAAGACCTTCCCTATATGCGGCGTGACATATGTCGGACAGATCGAGCATGAGTACATGCACGGTAAGAAACTGTCAGTTTGCGCAAACTGTCTGGCCTTGGGATTCCAGAAACCTCTGAGGCGATGCAACGGTTGTTTGTTGGTCGATTACTGCTCCAAAGAGTAAGTCTGCTTGTATCGTCAGCATGAATCTACTGACCCGCTGCCAGATGTCAAAAAGCCCACTGGCGCAAGCACAAGTCATTTTGCAACATGGTGCAGGGCAAAGGAGACCGAAACGCCTATCTCTCATCCTATGGCCACGACGAAGTTCTTCGACTCATCATCGATGCCTACCGCTTAAGAGTCGAGACAGACCACTTATCCCGGGATGAAGACCACGGTATTTATTTTCCAGGCAAACCAATCGACGGCTTAGTCTGGGCCAAGGGCGACGGTGAGCACAACCTCCTCGGAAATCCTGCTGGTGGTCGTTACTGATTCTGTGAACCAAAGCATCTGATGACTTCCAACGATTTCTCGATTTGGCGGAAGAGGCAAAAATCCTACCCAAGTGGTGGACGTTTGAGGACCGAATGCAGTGCCTTGCTCTAGCAATCGACAAAAATGACCCCGAGTCAATATTCCGCCCAATCAACCAGACTGAGCTTCCCCAGAGGTATGAAGGTGATATGGCCATCCGATTGGCGCTCGCTATCCTGGCCGAGATGTGTGTCGGATATGATGGCAAGGGACCGGCCAAGGACGACACATGGTTCCAAGAGTTCCAAGAATTCCTCGACCTTCATCCAGAAGAACGAGCCCGATTGATCAGGGGCAGTATCGAAATGGTGGATTCGGTGTTGAAAGAACACGGAGAAGAGTTCGGACAAAAGCCGAACTAAATGTCGTAGGAGGATGCCCCGTTTGAGCTCCATAGCGAGCGACGAGCAACCCTGACATTGAATCATATATATATTTATCAGAGCCAAATCTGCAAGTGAGTTGCCTGTGCCCCATGTTGCAGCCATTCTTTGCTAAAAACAACCAGGGAAGGTGAAGCGAGCGACTCGATGTCCTCGCAAGGCTGGTTCTGGTCGGAAAGCTTTCTTTTGATGCTTCAGGAAGGTTTAAATGGTACCTTTGGGTGTGGCAGCTGAACGGACAGCTGTTCCTGGTTCCTTCGTCCTCTCGGAAGGGACATCCCTATCGGTACCACTTCCTTCCAAAGTTGAATCTTGGAAATTTCCTTGAAACCCCCCAGTCTCGACACTCTCCCACCCTTCATCACTGGCACTTGCGCGACCACGACATGGCGAGCCACAGACTTGATGAGATGGCAGAGTCTATCACAATACCTACCGCGGAGTACGCGTCATTGGTGAGCATCTATGCATTCCAGTTCTCCTGTCAGTCGAGGCCACGCGCAGTTCTAACAGAGGCAAAGCTCGACACAAGAAATAAGTTTCGTTCCTTGGTGCAGGGATTGCTTAATGCAGGAGTCTCCGGCGAGTTGCTGGACGCTTTGAGCCGCATCAATCGTCCACTGACACCTCCGAACGACTTCAACTCGACCAATGTCAACGCGATCGAACCAAGCCAAAACGGTGCACCGGGCACCGGGCCCATGCACACAGCTCGTTCTTTCGTTCCTCCAGCCCCTGCCACCGAAATCCCACACCTTCGCCAGCACGCTGCTGGTTTGCAGGCACACCTTGATCCAGGAATTACGGTGCAAGATGCACCTCAATACGCTGAGGGAAATGCCACGCAAGAGGTGGTGGGAGTATCGAGCAGGCAGAATCGTGACGGTATGACGACAGCAAGACGATCACTTGTCATTTTAGGACTGTCACCTGCCACGACACTTCACAGCATCACCCAGGTTCTCAGGGGTGGTGCCATTCTACAAATGTATTTGCGACGCCAGGACTGCTCTTGCCACGTAAGCTTCGTGGACCCGAAAGCAGCGGACAACTTTTATCGCTATGCACAGACAAACGATATCTATGTCGCAGGAAATAGGGTCAGCAGAGACCAAATACAAATGGCCATTGCAAGCTGCTAACAGTCTTCAGGTGGACATAAGATGGGAATACCGACAAACTCAGGTACAACCAAGCTTTGCCGACTTCGTCCAATCGCTCAGTCGTACTCGCAACCTCGTTATTCGCTCCGCCAGCCCAGAAATGACTGAAGATAGCATTCGAGCAGATCTCGAGCACATCCATCACTTGGATGTTGTTGACCTCTTCTTCAGAGATGGTCACGCCCACATATCTCTCAACAGCATTAAATCGGCTCACACAGCAAAGAACTGCATGCTTTCGCGGCAGAAATACATGAGATCGAGGATTGACTTCTATCCTGATGAATGTGCTCGACCACTGCCACGTGCAAATCTCAATCTCCCGCAGAACCCATCAGCCGTCAATCCAGCTGGCGTCTTCCACAACAATCGCTTCGCAGTGCTCTTTGATGAGTCCGAGGAGTCCTAGGAGTTCTCAGGCGAGGTCAAGAGTTGGTGTTCGAGGTTGCTGGCACAATAGGCTAGTTGATACCAGAGACGGGATAATGACATGTGTTGATGGTACCTGTTTTCACAAACACCGGCGGAGGTTCCACAGTGTGGCATTGGGTGCTTAGTGTCAGTCGTACTATTGAGAGAGACATCGGAACCGCCGAGGTACAAGGAGCACGAATAACATATTGCCACCATTGGCGGCGTTGAATACGCTTCTCGATAGCGGAGCTTGAGTTGACTTGACCTGAATTGCAGGAATTCTAAGACATGACTTCAACTTCCCGACAGCTATCAATGCTGTCCGTATTCTCGTTTTATCTTTCGTGGCTATATCCATAGTGCCAGTCCTCCCTTTTCAGATCCTCCCTTATCTTGTAGTTCTCTTCGGCCACGTCGACCGTCCTCATGTCACATTCCACAACTTTCATTCCTGGTTCTCCATCGTCAAACGATCCGGGGACTTTCCCAACAAGCGGCAACACCACTTGACTTAACCCGGCGTACCCCTCCGACTTTGGGCCGCCCACATTGACAAAAATAATGGCGCAAGTATTCTCAAACGACCTCGTAATGAGGGCAGAACTCAAAAACTGAAGATCCACATCTGGTCCGTATGCTCTCGCTTCCGGGGTCAGATCATCTCTCGTCCAGAAGGTGGGGATGATGATTAGACGTGCACCCTGACGGACCAAAGAACGGCAGGCTTCAGGGAACGCTAGGTCCCAGCATATCACAATTCCCACAGGTCCCAGGGGAGTTTCTATCATTGAATGAGGATCTAGGTGAGGCGGTGGGCCCTCCTCTGTGGATAGATGATGTTGATTGACCTTGACGGAGGCCGGACCCGACGTGAGAACTGTGCGTTCTGGGATCCATAAGTTTGCCTTCGTGTAACTACCCAAAATCTCGCCTGTGTAGGAGATGAAAGGGGCGATATTGAGGAGAACGGGTTGTTTGGTAGAGTCTGCGGACGTTCCGTTGCTGGCTGCGGGAGGCGGCGATTTCGGATCAATGGTGACGATTGTCCCCGGAACAATATTGATCTTCAACTCCCGGGCCAGGGCTTGATACTTGGGCACGTATTGATAAGCAGTTTGGGCCAGGACGGCGAATTGGGGATCTTCCGGGACCCACGATGTTAGATGGTACTCGGGCAGCACTGCTAGCGACGCCCCTTGTGCGGCAGCATCGCGGATATAAGTCGATGCAGCGTTGAAGTTGTGTTCCAGGTCAAGAGGCTAGTCGTCAAAGTCAGCGCTTCACGCAAGCATATATCAAGGAGTTATCACCGATAAGACAAGGACCATACTTTGGGGTGAAGCTGGATCAAAGCAACTTTGAATGTCTGTGAGAACGATTCATAGGATGTCGCCATTGTGTGTTTATCCTCATACCCAGTATTTGGTCAAAGAACACGACGCAGTGTCTCCTTGTTACGATGACCGTACTTCTGGAAGTTGGTGCCCTTGACGAGGCTTCCGACTGAGGTTTCTCCGTCAGACGTCATGGAGACGAGGCTGCGCTAAGCCTAAAGTAGATTTTGAATTGAGCCCACACATCTTTCTCAATTCTCCAAACCTCGAGGAGACTGCCAAATTTTACTTCCTTCGACCACAATAACTACGGGGCAGGTGTTGGCACGGGAAGTACTGTGCATGGGCTCCTCCCTCTCTGTGACTCCCTCATCTACAGTCCTCCTCTCCGCCTGGATCAAAACACCCTCTTCGAAGATTTCTTCCCTCGCCCACAATGTCCTACGCGAACGGTAACGCATTCCCAGACGAGGATGTAGAGGAGGAAACCCTCGTGGCAGACTATCAAGAGCAAGTGAACAACTATGATGAGGGCGCAGACTTGGAGCGCGGAGACTCGATCATCAGTGGCGGACCAGCAGATTTGCGAGCGCAACTTGAAGCCGCCGCGGCTCCTCTGGAGTTCCAAGCGAGCTTGGAGACCAAGTGAGTTGTCCAGTCTGATTCTCTTCGCCCAGAAGATATTGTTTCTGTTGGGATATGTCTTTTGGGAGGAACGGGACTAATAATGCCTCAGATTTCAAAGCTATGACAACTACTGCTCACTTTTCCACTACATCCTCAACTCCGATGGCCCTGTAGAAATTGAGACGCCCTCCTACTACTGGGCTTGGGATGTGATCGATGAATTCATCTACCAATTCGAATCATTCTGTCGCTATCGTAACCGGGTCGCCCGCACTGCACCTACGGAAGAAGAGGCGCAAATTCTGCGAGACAATCCAAACACATGGGGCTGCTACAGCGTTCTTAACGTCCTGTACTCATTGATCCAGCGTTCGCAGATCAACGAACAGCTTGCTGCCACGAAGAGAGGCGAAGATCCCATGGCAGTGGCGGGCGAGTACGGCTCACGTCCTCTTTACCGTATGCTTGGATACTTCTCCATCATCGGTCTTTTGCGAGTGCACTGTCTCCTTGGAGACTTCAGTCTTGCCCTTAAGACCCTGGACGACATCGAAATGAACAAGAAAGCCATGTTTGCCCGCGTCATGGCTGCGCATTTGAACACATACTATTATGTCGGCTTCTCTTACATGATGCTTCGTCGTTATGCGGACGCCGTGCGCATGTTCAGCCACATCCTGGTGTACGTATCTCGCACCAAGAATTTCCAAAAAGGACCCAATCAAGGGCAGTTCGACGCCATCGCAAAGAAGACCGAGCAAATGTACGCTCTCATCGCCATCTGTGTGTCCTTTGCGCCCACTCGCTTGGACGACTCCATCCACACGGCCCTTCGCGAAAAATACGGCGAGAAGTTTGCAAAACTGCAACGTGGGGGCACAGAAAGCTTGCCAATCTTCAAAGAATTGTTCCAATCCGCATGCCCAAAATTCATCACCCCTACACCACCGGACTTTGATAACCCTTCGTTGAACATCGACCCTGTTGATCACCACACTGAGATCTTCATGGACGAAGTCCGCAACACTCTCTTCAACCCCCTGATCAAATCGTATCTGAAACTCTACACAACAATGAGCATTCAGAAGCTCGCCGGCTTCTTGGAGGTCGAGCCCGAAAAGCTTCGCAGCTGGCTACTCGTGAACAAGCAGCGAAGTTGTCGGCAAATACGCTGGACCGAGGGTGGTTTATTGGAAGGCGAGATTGTGGGTGTGTTGGGTAACGGAAGCTCAGAGGGGCTGGATTACGCCATTGAGGGTGATTTGATTCATATCAGTGAGGCGAAGCAGGGCCGACGCCTGGTGGACTGGTATCTAAGGAATCTAGCAAGATCCTACTAAGCAAGAAGATAAAGGGGAAACAACGCAGGTGATGACCACGATCGGGGTATGGCCTGGTTGGGCAGAGACGGTGTGAGAAGAAAATGGAGGTGTTCTCAACA